GTGAGTGAGTGAGTGTGTGAGTGAGTGAGTGAGTGAGTGTGTGTGAGTGTGTGTGTGTGTGTGTGAGTGAGTGAGTGAGTGTGTGAGTGAGTGTGTGTCTCCAGGCTGCGCGGGGGCAGCATTACGCGGCGCGCCTGCGCAGAAAAACAAGGAAACAACATCAGAGAAGAGTCATTTATGTATTTATGTATTATTGATTAATTCACTGTCAGATTCGTCAAAGCCTCCGCGTTTAGCGACGAGTAGACCGTGTGGTGTGTGTGTTCAGCTGCTAATGATGGTGGAGAGCTCGCCGTCTCCGCTGCTCGAGAGAACGACTCACGGCTTCTGTACGCCTCTCCATCATCACTACTGTCCAAACCGAAACATGTGTCTATAAACAGCTCTATTACTTTGAATTAAAATGGACTAACGGTTACGTTTAAAGTGTGTACATATACATACATACACACACATTAAAAGTACACATACACTATATATGTTACATGGAGTTTCTGGACTATTTGAAATCTTTTTCGGGTTTGTTTGTCTCTATATAGTGTTTATATATTGTGTTGATCTGATCAGTTCTGTATGTGGTCTGGGCTGTTGTTCCTAATGTTTGGCTTCACACTGCTGGACTGACCTACTGGCCTCAGAAGTGAGTGGATCTGTGATCTCATGTTCATGTGTTCATGGAGGCCAGACTGACCTCCCACACGCGTGTGTTTCAGATACTGGGCTCTGGCGGCACCCATCTACCTGCTGGTCACTTTAAGCACCTGTCTAGTGCTGCTGTTTGGGGTGAACCTGATGAACACGGCTCCGCTCGCATCTGTGGACAACATCACAGGTGAGCGGCACATAGGGATAAAACCACTAAAAATGACCACTCACTCGTGCTTTCACAAAACGGTCAGGTGATTTTAAACATCTTGCATTGCTAAATCAAATGATTTCTTGTTTAGATCACTACGCTAAGAGTCAGCGTGTGGACGAGGATCAGGACGGAGTGATTCCCAGACTCAGAGACGTTCCCATCAGCGAAATAAACCGCTTCTTTTACCTGGATCCTGGCGCGCAGGGATGTGTTTGCTCAGGGTTTAGGTGATCAGATCCATCAGCCGCCTGACTGTCAGGTGACCCGTGACCCTCGGACAGACCTGAGGGACTCGCATGACGAAAGCACTTTAATAAAGCCCAGTGCTCAGAACATGGAGCTTTAGCGTCTTCCTCAAACACCTAACTCCTGATGTGGTTTGGGGTCAGACCGTGACCTCTGTGACCTCAGACTCATCTCACTATCTGCCATCATCTCGTCTCCTCTCGCAGACACGGCCCTCGTGAACAAACAGACGGGTGTCAGGTGGCCACTCACCTTTAACCTCTGACCCCGTGACCCCACCGCCGTCACACGGAGAAAAATACACTACTGTTTGTTACTTTTATTAAATCATTGACACTGTAAAAAAAAATGATCTGATGAGTCATGGCAACATATTTTTCTGTTACTTTAACTTAAGTTAAACAATTTAAAAAAAAAATTAAAATTCTACAAAATTCAGTTTTTAAAGTCAGTTTCAAGGTTAATAATAAATTGAGGCTACACATGCATATTGAGCATTCTTGTTTTTATTTGTGTTTAGATTTGAACAGAAATACATGAATTCCAGCAATAACACAAAGGGACGGTTCACATAAAACTAAAGTTGTCATTTACTCAAGTTGCTCCAAACTTGCACACGTTTCTTTTGCATACATAAAAAGATATTTTGAAGAATACTGGTAGCCAAACAGCCATTGGTCACAGCCACAGCCAACCCGTTAGGGCTGCAAAAAGGTGGAAAATTTCCAGTAAATCTCGGAAACTTTCCAGGATTTTTGGGAATATTCCAGGGATTTTTGGAAAGTTTCCGGAAATTTTCCACCCCATAGTAAGGAAATACTATGGAAGTCAATGGCTGCCATCTACTGCTTGGTTCCCAACATTCTTCAAAATATAACAAGAAACTCATTTTTGGAGCATCTTGAGGGTAAGTAAATGACAATTTTCATTTTCGGTGAACTATCCCTTTAAAGACGGTCCCAGAGGTGGGCCGACGTGAAGGATCTTCCTCAGATCAAAGGTCTGTTTGTGTTTGATGGCGTGACCCGTGGCGCTGGATTTCTGCTCGTCTCAGGTGATAATCCTGTTCCTGTGGATCCACACCGCTGTGTTTCCCATCTCCATTCACACGGCTTGTTTCCTAAACAGTGTTCTGCTTCCTGACGGTCGCACGGTTCACTCTCAGCTCGCTAGTGAGTTCTCGTTATAGACGTGCGGATCTGATGATGTTAGTAAGTGTCCGTTTCATCCTCCTCCTCTTCCTCCTCAGAGCTGGAGTCTTCGTCGTTGTAAAAGTGCAGTGTGGCCTGAACGGGGAAACTGGCCAAAACCGTCCGGCCCAGATGAGACAGATACTCCTGCATCCTGGATCTGGGCAGAAACAACCTGCAGATTGATGCGACCCGTCACACACACACACACACACACACACACACACACACACACACACACAGACAGTCAATGCTAGTGACACCCAGCTAACAGGGAACGTTTGTAGAACTTAAGCTAACGTTCTGGCAAGGTTCTCTCAAAGTTATTATGATCAAACATTTGTTCAAAGTTATCTGGTCTTTAATCATGTTAGCACAAAAACATTATTTATACATTGCTCATGGAACGTTTTATTCAGGGTTGCCAAGTCCACGGTTTACAGCAGAGTCAGGCTACTCTTGGGTTGTTAAAGTGATTTTGAGTGTGAGTTTTGATTAGCAATTGGGCTGGTTTTGTTTCAAAGACCTGGCAACCCTGGTCTTATTTCGGAAACATTTTATTTGCATGTTCATCTTAACGTTTTTGAAATGTTACTACTTGTTTTAGAACGTTCAAATCTAACGTTCCCACAATGTTTGCAAGATGAAAAAATAACGTTCACATAAGAATAAAAACATTTGTAAAACATTTTAAAAACTTGAACATTCAGAATTAACGTTTTCACAACTTCCTAGAACATATTCTTGTTAGCTGGGTATTTATAAACATGCAATGAATATTGAAGTGTTCTTGACTTCTGAATGGAGAGGAAGAGCATCAGACCTCACAGGATGATGGAACACATCTTCAGAAGCCTGAACCCGCCTCAAACCTCCAGAAACCACCTGAAGAACACAAGAACACGGGCTAAAAGCTGAAATCAGCAGTTCAGACTTCTCCAAAAGGTGTCATTTCTGCACTCTCAGACTCGGAGATCAACATATCGATAAATACAGAGAGCAAAGTCATTCAAAAGAGTTACTTTATTTAATTGCGTCTCTCTTGTTGAAAGATCCCACGGTCTCCACATCACAGGACAACTATCAGAACATAAAAGAGTGAGTCACTCACACTGAAGACTCTAAACATGTGAAAACACAGAGGAATTGAGCATAAACTCTCACCCGAGCATCTGACCCGCGTCTGAACCCAGCGGCAGCATCTTTCACACTGAGCGCTGAGAGGTGGGCGTGGCCCCAAGTGCGTGCACCCGCCTCTCAAACACACAATTCTTTGACGTGACGTCACTAAGTACCTTACTTTCAGAAATTGTTATACGACTGTTAACTTGCGATTTAAAAATAGTTCATTTTGGAATTAATAATCATGCAATCTAACGATGTTTTCCACGTTATTAATAAATAGCTCAAATCAATCTGGCTTTTGACTTAATTTTGACAGCTTTTTTTTTAAATTTTGACAGCTGGAGATACTAGCTACTGTACGAACAGGCCTACAAGATTAAGACAAGAACTTTATCACTTTGTCAACAGAAGCTGATTCACTCTAGAAATACATAAACGCTCATAACAGCACAGTTCTTGACAGTGATGGGAAGCTCGGATCATTTTACTGACTCGGATGGACGAAACTTTTTTCAAGTCATTTTGTTAATTTCAGCAGAATATTAAAATGTTACACGTTAATATCCAAACTCCACAACACATCTACTTCCCTGACAAGCACATACATCACGGAGAGTCTATTTGACGTCGCATTTACATCTGCAACAGGTATTTTTTAGAGAGTTTGCTCATCTGCAATATGTCTATAGGACGTTTCTAGATTAAATATAACCCAGCGCTGGGTTAAAAAGGGACAAACCCAGCGGTTGGGTTGTTTTGAACCAGCGGAGTTGTTTTGAATCAGCGGTTGGTTTGTTTTGACCCAGCGGTTGGGTTGTTTTGACCCAGCGGGTTGGGTTGTTTTGACCCAGCGGGTTGGGTTGTTTTGACCCAGCGGGTTGGGTTGTTTTGACCCAGCGGGTTGGGTTGTTTTGACCCAGCGGGTTGGGTTGTTTTGACCCAGCGGGTTGGGTTGTTTTGACCCAGCGGGTTGGGTTGTTTTGAACCCAACTGCTGGGTCAAAACAACCCAATAGCTGGGTTTGTCCCTTTTTAACCCAGCGCTGGGTTATATTTAACCCAGCATTTTTTAGAGTGTACATCTTAAAGACGTCTGTCAGATGTCTGTACACAGCAGATGCTTCCCAGATCTTTAACAGACCTCTTGCAGACGTACCTGTGTTATCTGGGCAGTCAGAAAGCGGCTTATTTGAGGCTTTTGACAGGAAATGAGGCGGCATTCTTACTTTCTTACTTCTTTCAGAACTGATGAACTGATGTCTGCCGGCTGATATTCACAACAACAGCTCGACTGACTTCAGAAGAGTCCCGGCGACCCGTTTGAGGGGTTTAGTCTTTATCTCAGACACATTAGTTAAGCCAGGCTTATATTTAAAGCATGGACTCGAATCTCAGACTTATTTTGGACGCTCTGAGAGTCTTTTATAAATCACTGCACTAATCGCCGCTAGAGGGCAGAAGAGGCCAGAGAATAAAGAACAGAAATCTCAACAAGTGTGACTGCAACATTTATGAACTACTAAATTCTGAGTGAAATGCACTGCAGTGAGTACTAAGATCAGATTACAAGATGATTAGTAATATTTGACCTTCACTGATGACAACAAACAGAATGAAAGTTTTGTCCCTGCAGGATGTTAAACGAAGTTTGGTTTGAAAAATACAGAGGATCTGACTAATGTGTTTTAATGCAGCTTGTGTGTGTGTATGTGTGTGTGTGTGTGAGAGAGAGAGAGAGAGAGAGAGAGAGAGA